CAAACTGTGGTACATACACACAATGGAATACTATGCTACCTTGAAGAACAACAAGGAAGCTGCAAGCCACCGCATAACATGGATGAACCTTGAGGGAATTATGTTCAGTGAAATTAGTCACAAAAGGAGAAATACTGCATAGGACCACTACTGTAAAAGACTAAGAAAAAGACCCATACTAAAGGGGGAGTGGATTATTTTCTGGTTACTGGGATGTGTGGGGGGTGGGGTGAGGGGAGGGAGGGCAAGGTGGAGCACAGGGCAGGGAATAGACACAGGACAGTTTGGGTGCTGGGGAGGGGGGCAATATACAAGAAGGGAGAGGGGAATGGAAGAACAAAGCAGATGGGAGAACAATTAGGCAGGTTTGTATGGGCAAAGTGGGACAGAGGTAAATAATGATGTATGCACAACCTTGGAACAACAGGGCTCTGGGATACAGGGATTGAGATATGGTTGAAATGTGGAAAAGGGGGGAATAATGTTAAGGAGCTCTGGTAGCGTAGTGGTTACGAATCAGGCTGCGAACTTCAAGGTCAGCAGTTTGAAACTACCAGCTGTTCCGCGGGAGAAAGATGAGGCTTTCTACTCTCGTAAAGATTTACAGCCTCAGAAACCCTGTACAGGGGTCGTTATGAGTCAGAACCGACTCCATGGCATATAACAACAACAATGTTAAGATGCTTGGCTGTCTATTGAGTCTTGGTTTCACTGGCATTCCATTATAAAATAGATACTTGTGGGGGAGAGAAAGAAATAGCCAGAAATGAAAGCTTGTAAGTCCATCTTCTGCCTATAACTGATTAGAATACCTAAAATGGGGCTACAACGTGCCAAGTGAAGGAGGATTCCTGCAGAGCCTCTTCATTACATAAGACCATAGGTGGAATCCTGAACAGCATCCAGAATCTTCAGAGGAGGGAAATTTCCACTTGAAAGGACAAGCTGGCCATCTTGGAGCGGCTAGAAGAACAGAAGATATTTCTTAAAAGAAAGACCAACAGGAAAAATACAAAACAATATAGGCAGACCGACTGTTACTACAAGAATAAGCAAGTTGCTCACCCAGGAGACATCAAGGCAAGTGGTTGGGTCCCCTCAGCGCAAAACCCCTTTCCAAGACTAAGAATCAATGGGAATACACGCTCTGATTGGTGACCACGTTCCGTCACTGATAAGGGGAAGTGAGAGAAAAATAGCAATGAAGCTGCGAGCTAAGGTCTACAATGTTCAATAGATTCCTGTGAACCCGGGTGGAGACCTGGTTGGTCAGCAGTGTGGCAAGACCTAGGGACTCTTGGGCCCAGAGTCATTGACATGACCACAGAGGACTAGAGTGGAGAGAGAAGCGTCCAGCTGATAAGAAGAGAGGGCATATGCACGCGAACACCCACACTTGTAGATAATACCCACTTGACCTGGCTTCAATGACTAGATGATCAGAGCTCAACTAGAAGAAAGAAGAGGGAAAAAAAGAATAATCTGATACAGTTTGATGAACTTGACCTACACCTACGGATGCAGTAGGTCAAAAGAGGGGAACAAATCTTTACAACAAGGATCATTCCCACCCCTTCCATACAGAGTAGACAGGGATGGGCAGCTTGGACATTGGCTACCCAAAATGAGGAGCTACAAATCCAAGAAGTGACTGGCTTACAAGATTTCAAGAAGGAACCTAGATGCAGAGGGCGTGGAGGAAGGTAGAATCTCCATTGAGTAGTATCCAATCTGTCTGGGCGGGACTGATGAAAGGAGATGGGGATAGGTCTCTTATGATACAGTAGTGAATAATTGTTATCAGGACTGACTGTGAGGGTTGGAAATGTAAAGGCAGATGTTTTGTAGCAAAAAGAGGGGAGTGATTGACTTTGCAGTTTAGGATCAGAGGTCCCTGGGACAATCAAGGGAGAAGCATAGAGAGCGGGACCTTACCCAGAGAAGCAGTGATGCCAGAGATGGAGGCAGAGATGATGACGTGGAAAGATGGAGCTGCTGGAGACTTTGGACCCAGAGAGGGAGAGGGGCTGTGTGCTGAGGACCGGGGGGCAAGTTTGCAGGGTTGGTTGGCTGATGATGCATGGAGGGGATGGTAACCATGGCAATGGAACATACAATGATAGGATGAATGTAAAGCTAGTGTTGTCCCATGTAAACTGTCATATAATTCACAATAAAACATTAAAAAAAAACAAAAAAAGAAAGGAAAAAGGCCTTGTAGCTGTTGGATCCAGAGCTCTGCCAACCAATGAGCTCATGAGGTGGGTGTCTGAAGGGGGTCAGGGTGGAGTTCTCGGCTTTAAGGAAGTTCCTATTGGCCTCGGTGTTACCTGTATTCAGGGCACTCAATTTGGAAGTAGTTCATGGAGGCCCTTGATGGGGCTGGTGTCAGTATGTGTTAGGACCACAGGACAGCCGAGGACAGGGTGGCTGCTTGTCAGGGTTTCGGCTAGACTAATGCTGTTCTGGTGGCACCGAGGATTCTCCAGGTCTGGGACTGAGGTGCCTGAATCCAGGTACCAGAAAGGCTCAGTCAGCCCCCACCTCACCTAGAAAGCAGAATCTGCGCAAGAGGTGCTTGAAGGGGAAAGCTGGCCACACCTCTGGTCACTTGTAGGGGAGTGTGAGGTGAATCTCACATTTCCTGGGTGAAATCTGCCTGGGACTTTCTGTTGCCAAAGCTGCTCACAGAAGTTCCGGAGGGCTGGGCTGTGTTAGTTTCCTTCTCTCGCCAGCCCTGCACAGCCTCACCTCCGGCTGCTGTCCCTGCACTTCTCTATCCTTTCCTCTGATTTCAGGAGTCTTGGACGTCATCTGCGTCTGTTTCATTAGATCTCTTGTGTCTTTGTTGTGGAGGGTCCGTGTTGTGTGTCTGCCATGTTGCCAGAAATCCTTAAAAACACTTGCTTTTACGGATCTGCAGGCGATTTGTCTGCTTTGTGGGCAGCCTGTATGTGGAAATGGCCTGTGTGGCTGATGAGGGCACAGGAGGCTTTGGACACTCATGGGACAGGGCTGGGCATGAGTAAGCGTGGATGCTCGTGGGGCAGCTGTGGACCCTACAACACTCTCCCAGGCTGGCCCCAAGGTGTCCTGGAGGCTGGGTGACCCTCCTTTTGATCAGATTCACTGTAGCCCTGGGAGTGGGATGCTCACTTCATTCCACTTTCGGGGCCCTGGTATGTCACGGCGTGGGGATCCTGAGTCCCCATTGAGGGGATCGAGCTGCAGTGATGTCCTGGGAGGGGCAGGACCCCAGAACCTGAGTGCATCTGGACCTCCCCCCACCCTCACATCACACTCCTCCTTGCCTTCCTCCCCACATCCTCTCACTGACGCATTGGTACTCACCCTACTTCACAAGGAGCATTTGAGGGGCTTCTGTGATATAAGTAGGTGTCAGGACCCAGGGGTGAGTGGAGCTCTCCCCAGGCCTGGCCTGTTCCCTGCATCCCCTGGCAACAAGAGGAGGGAGTTCTGAGGTGTCCTGCTGAGGTGTCCTGGCCAGGCTGGCAGACACTGTGACATACCCAGCCACGACTGGGCAGAGTCCAGCTGCTGGTCTGAGAGGGGAGCTTTTTGATGCTGAATGAAGGATGGGCCTCGTTGCCCCTGTCTCAAGGGCTCCATGACTTTGCTGTTGGGTCCCAGTGCCTGGCCAGAGCGCCTCACCACCAGAAAAGGCCTCCTGGGCACTCCTGTCAGAGCTGTGCCCTGAGCTCTTGGCCCGAGATCACCCGAGTGCTAGGTGAGAGTTCACGGTACACCTGGCCGCCTGAGGGCAGGAGGGCAATGACCAGGGGAGGGGGACATCCCCTGGAGGCCAGGAGCCTGCCTGCAGCCCTCATGACTTTCAGAAGCTAGCTCACCTGACCATGTGCCCCTTTCCTGCAGGAGAAGAGGATGGACGAGACCAGGCCAAGCTGGAGACCAAGGTCTGGGAGGCACACAACCCGCTGGTAGACAAGCAGATTGACCAGTTCCTCGTGGTGGCCCGGTACGACAGCCAGTATGAGACCCACTGCTTTGGGTCCACCTCAGGCCTCACCTGTCAGGCTGCTGTGGGTGCTGGGCTGGGAGAGGGTATAGCCCCGGAGGCTGCCGTGGAGTGGATGCTGGGAGGAGGAATGCAGGGCCCCCCACCCCCGACCCCCCACCCCCCATCCCCTCGCGTCAGCAGATCGGGGTGGGGTTGGGAAACACGACAGAATTCTGACAATCCCCGAGTTTTCACTGTAAAGGGGGGACCCGAGGATGCTCTGCTGAATGAACCCAGTCGGGGTCTGGGACAGTGTAGACAGTGAGTCCACGTCTCCTGTTCTCCAGCTCCGTGGGGACCTTTGCCCGCGCACTGGACTGTAGCAGCTCCGTCCGTCAACCCAGCCTACACATGAGTGCCGCAGCCGCGTCCCGAGACATCACTCTGGTGAGGGTCCGATGGCTGTCCCTCCTTCCAGAGCCATGTGCCCAGGGTTCCCTGCCACCAGGCACTGGCTCAGCGTGCTGAGGAAACAATGTTTCTCACAGTTCCATGCCATGGACACACTCCACAAGAACATCTATGACATCTCCAAGGCCATTTCAGCCCTGGTGCCGCAGGGCGGGCCGGTGCTGTGCCGGGACGAGATGGAGGAGTGGTCAGCCTCAGAGGCCAACCTCTTCGAGGAGGCCCTGGAAAAGTACGGGAAGGACTTTACAGACATCCAACAGGACTTCGTAAGTGCTGACGAGTGGGGTTCATGGTGGGCAAGAAGGACACGGTACTAGGTTCTTGTCACTTAGAGAGGAGGCACTGAGCTAAAGCTGGCCAAGGCAGGGTCATTCTGCCCACTCGGAAGCCCTTCAGACAAGCTGAGGCTGGGGTCTGGTCAGTGTTGTGTTTTCATGTGGGCCATGGCAAGGTGAATGTCCCCCTCACTCATGTCTAGTCGGAGCCCCAGCTGGCGTTGCTTGGGCTGCTGACCCATAGCTGGCCCCTGACCCCTTGCACATCTCCCCAGGTACAGCCCCCTGAAGCCATGGGGGTGTCCTGCCATGACTTGTCTGTAGTGACCATCATGATGCTGAGGCCACTGTAAGAGGACAGTGGACAGAGATCTGGCTGGAGCTCAGGCTTAGAGTGCCACTGTGGCCAGGGACACAGCCCTGACTGGCCTCTGGACGCTCCGTACTGAGACTGAGCAATCCCATCCTTGTCTGTGATTCTCAGATTCTTGTACTGAATTTGTGTTTGGTGTTTTTCACTAAACTTATTTGTCCCCCTGGAAGTTGTCTCCCCGTCAATTCCCATGGACTTTCTCCAGTGGCAGCAGAGCTGTGTCCACCGGAGCCACTATCCTCCAACCCTCCCATGCACGTTCCTGGCGCCAGGGGTAAAGCTCACTAGGCCATCCTGGCAGGCAGGGAGGAGAGGACAGTGTGGGGCCTGACCGCCCAGGAGGCAGGGGCTATCTCGGAGCAGGCAAGGAGTCCAGGAGCCAGGGTCAGGACGCAGAGGCGCCACCATCTAATCAGGAGTGCCACGGGAACAGCCAGTAGTAAAGTGTACAGACTTGGGAACTGTCCAGAAAGCAAAAGAACTCAACACAGTGTGAGAGAGACTGAAGGCCAGCCTGGACAAAGGTAGCCCAAGCCTGGCCAGATGGTCAATCCCCCAGGAATCATCGGGGGATCAGCCAAAGCCCTCTGGGGAGCAACTTCCAACCTGGGGAGCAGGATCTGCTATTAGGAAGAGCGATGAACCTCAGCGAGTGCCAGTGAGGAAAGTGTTGTGGGTAGGAAGGTGAATGGCTGCTCTCCCGACCAAACCAGAGAACCAGAGGCCTCTGCAAGCCATATATGTATATAACTGTGGCAAAAGAAGCTAAACAGAAAGAGAGAGACTTTTTCAGATTTAAAAAAAAAAAAATGAGTCAGATGACAAGAGCTAGAAATAGAATGCTTCAGTTGGACTCAAAGCCAGCGGGCCCACAATGGACTATGTAGATGTTAAAATTGAGAGTACGTCAAGAGGCCACAGCAGAAGCAGATTCACCAATGCTGAACCTACGTGCCCCAAACAACGTAGCACCAAAACCTAAAGCAAACCCCTAGTGGGGGCAGAGAGATGAGGTGAAAGAACCACACCACCTCTGAGCAGCATCTTCCCTGATTTTCCAGATCAAGGATACTGAAAATAGAAAGTTATCTGAATTCTATAACAAAGCAAAAGTGTTAAATAAATTCATATCAGAAATTTTATATCTGGGTTCTCTAACCATGTTGTTAGACTTCACAAAGGACAAAAAACTCAGTCCTTTAGAAAGAAAAAATAATGCCATCCTCAGGAGTCTGATATGGCGCTGTAGGATGAGCACTGGACTGGGGACCAAAAGGTCGGCAGTTCAAACCCACCAGCTTCTCCCCAGAAACCCTATACAGGGTCACTATGAGTTGGAATCGACTTGGTAGTATTTAACAACAACAACAAAGAGTCATGTAAGATAGAACACAGTACCAGAATGCTGGAAAACAATTTTGATGGAAACACTACAAGTCTAGAATCCTTGGGGTATATAGCCAAGGAAATGTTTAGAAACATGCCCAGAGCCTTAAAGCTACTGTCCACAGAGAAAAAGCAGTATGTTAGCCTGAACAGTGAAATTAAACTGATAAATAGAAGGAGTAGGAACCGTAAGCGTAAGGGAGCCATAAAGTGAATGTTTGACCCAGAAAAGAAGTGGTTTAAGAAATCTGTAGTTGAGAACAGTTTCAGAAGTTGAGGCCCAGCCTCATGAAGTGGCCGTGGTGCTGTTGATATGACCCTGTTGAGCTCTGTGGTCTTATTCTTGGTGCCTGGCTCTTAAAATCCTTTTTGTCTCTCAACTTGTCTGCCTATGATCTTGTCATCCTGAAACTCCCTGGTGTTTTGGCATCCTGCTTACAGGGAGAAACGAGATGCCAAGAAAAAGTTGTGAGCATTTGCTTCCCTGCCTCCCTCCACACCCTGCTTGCTGTACACCTGGCTTGGCTTCCTATTCACTTGGCACCCATCTTCTCCCATGTGCACCCCTCGCTGTCTTGTGCCATCACCTGTCTGGGGTGGGCTGACGTGATACACCTTTCTCCCACCCAGCTCCCATGGAAGTCTCTGACAAGCATCATCGAATACTACTATATGTGGAAGACAACCGACAGATACGTCCAGCAGGTGAGCCAGTGGACGGAGCCAGACTGGTCCCACATCACCGATGAGCAGACCCCACCCAGGGACACAACTTTCTGTGCTCCTACACCTGACTTTCTGCCCCACAAACAGCAAGCTCTCGGCTTGCTTGGTCTGGACCTTCCCTCCTGAGGTCCTTGCAGGTGCTGAGCCAGCGACCCAGTGTGGACAGGGCTGGGGCTGGGCTGTGGGCCTGCTGGGACAGACTTTCCAGTCCAGCTTGCCATCCCTGTGTGTGTG